TTTTCTTAAGAGGTGAAAATCTACAGACCAGGTGGATTTGCTGCTGCTGCCAAATTCAGTTATTCTAATTCTGCCTATAGGGGATTTGATGCTGTGTAAATTAAAAAAAAAATGCATAAATTCCGAAACTCGCGGAAAAGTGATTTGTATTTCTGTAGAATGAATTGTAATGCATTTTGTATAGCTTTGCTTTGGGGAAAGTTGAATTAGGAAGTTATTTAAGGTTTTAAGTTTAAATATTAGTTTCGCTACGCTGAAAGCCAAACACTATTCCATGTGTAAAAAAATAAATAAAAAATGATACTTTATTGGATCGCATGGAAGAATAATTGTACATTGTCGTCATTAGTATTTATACTTGTTTCCAAAATTAGCTCTATCTTTGTTGGATACATTTCAACGAAACTTGCACCATCACATATAACTTTGTTTTTTGGGTCCATGAGAATACGTTTCGCTTTAAATCTTTATCTGACCGTGTAATTACGGAAGATCGGATATAAGAAAATTTTAGTTTTTAGACATATAAAGACAAATTACTTTGTAACTGAAGTAGAATGGTAGAATGCATCCTTGAAAATTACTTGATTTTCCACATCAGCGCTTGTGACACGTGTAATTACGTTTGTATTATAGAAGGTTGTGTTGTCCAAGGAAATACTTGAATTCATCTGGTCTTCCTGGAGTTATTGGCGTTTTCCGCTACTTTTACTGCCCCAAGTCCACCTAGTGTCATGTCTTGAATTCATCCTTTTTTTTTTCTGCCCTTAAATACAAAACAAAGAAAACAAGGAAGTTTTGTAGGAAATAAAAACGCGTGTAACTTGAGCTCATTCACCCTGCTGATTTTACCGCGAAAAGGTGCACATCTGATGTTGAACTTGAAACGCTTGGTTAGTTTCTCACAATTAACTTTTTACGAAGAATATTCCTGTTTTTTTTTATTGAAGATTAAATATATAATATGTGATTCTGAAGGGGTTTTATTTTCTCTCGTTAAGTACACTAATTGTTAAGACTGGTACTACAGCTAAGTTTGCCCAGTTTACCAACCACGTGGGCCCGGCATGGCCAGGTGGTTAGGGCGCTTGACTCGCAACCTGAGGGTCGCGGATTCGAATCCCCGTCCCACCAAACATCCTCGCCCTTTCAGCCATGGGGCGCTATAATGTGACGGTAAATCCCACTATTCGTTGGTAAAAGATCAGCCCAAGAGTTGGCGGTGGGTGGTAATGACTAGCTGCCTTCCCTCTAATCTTTCACTGCTAAATTAGGGACGGCTAGCGCAGATAGCCCTCGTGTGCCTTTGCGCAAAATTCAAAACAAACAAACCAACCACGTGTTCTTCCAGGTCAAAAAAGTCACCACACTTTTTAATTAAAGTTATGTCAAATTATATTTCATGGAGACGTAAAATACTGAATGAGCATGGACTTGAAACATTCAGAACAACAAAAACATAAAAATCTGAACGTAGCAAACATTTATTTACCATTTTTATATACAAGTATATGTTGTTTGAGCCTGAAGATAACTTCATTTTACTATTAAAATATCTATTGATATAAAACATGCTTTGTGTTAACCTATTGGGTTGAACATGTTTCTGCATTTATATAAACTTTAAGATGAATGCCGTTATTTAGATCTGTTGTTTTAACGTAAGATTTTCATATAAACTTTTTTATCTTAAATATGAATTTAGTGAAACCAATATAAGCTAATGGTTCCATTAAATACAGAACAATGCGAAAAAGTTTCCCTGTAAATAGTGGTTTAAAATACTTGAATTTTCATTAAACTATTAACTAATAAACTGTGCCTGTTTCTTATGAAACTTAAACATTGCGTTATATATATATATATATATATATATATATATATAATTATTCTTAAGGTTTATGTTGTACATTGTTCTATTCCAGTTCAGACTATCTTGAAACTACAGACTCAGCATGATCTATAGTATAAACCAACAAATAATGTATACGTGGGAGGAAGGAAACCAGCTTACTCACTATTATAAGTTTACCTCCACCTAGCATTACCAGTTCTGACAATTGTCATTATCAAACTTGTTTGCATGAGTTTTCCAACAGAGTAGTCGTAACCAGTCTTAACCTAGGTTAGGTGCCTAGGGTGCTCCCGCTAGGGAATTTTGACAGATTTGTGAGAGCTAGGTGTGGAATTAAGTTGCATGTACGTACCCAAATTTTCGTCAGAAAGCCTAACTAGGCTTAAGTCGTAAAAGGTGAATGATTTTAGATGTGTGTCCATGTGACCCCTGTTGAAATTTTAATATTTTTAACATCCAAATTTTGTCTGCAGTCGATACCAATATAGCTCGAGTTGCAACTTTATTCTGTAGTACTTTCTTCAGGGTAATTATGAATTCTAATAATTTGGGCATTTCACATATTCCACATTCTGTGATGTGTAAAGTTAGCCATTGATATTTTTAGACTAACTATTGCAGATTTGAAGAACGTACATTATTGTTGGATATACAAGACTGTTCAGTTTAAGAGTTATTATTTAGTGATGAGTGCTAAAAGTTAAATATTTTAAAAGCTATATTTATTACAAGTTTCATTATGTAACTGTAGGAGTTGTACGTTGTGTATGTAGTTTAATTGTTGTACTAGGCTTTTGTAATATTATTGACGTCATCTTACTCGAAGCTATTGATATTGTTGTTACCAGAAGGCTAGATATTTCTAGATTTTTTGTCGCGTGTTATAAATACGTGCAGATAGAGAGGAAGTTAAGTTAGTGAAAGAAAAAGTGAAGTTAGATTACGTGATTGTCAGTTTAGCGGTAAAGGGTGATATCTAAAGTGAAAGTTCCACGGTTTGATTCACGATATAACACTGAAAATCTTCCGTGTTTTTGGCCATGATGATGTTATAACATGACAGTCGATCCCACTATCCGATTAAAATTGGTGTTGTAGACGGCAGGTGCGGTTGTTTGCTGTCCTTCCTTTGTTTAGTCGTTCTTAATAATGTATAACTATATCTGGATCTTGGGGTTTCTGACTTCGCCTTTTAGATTGAAAATACAGAATGTCTAACTAAACAGAAGTCTATTAATGGCACTACTCATTTGACAGTGTTTATTAAGATCCATGACTGTGTAATAAGTGAATAGCTTTTTTAGAAAAACAGTCTTATATTTGGTTTTTAAAGAACTTATTTTGTCAAGTACAAATGCACAGCTATGTGTTTTATGTGGTTTCGCTAATTAAAGATTTAATTAACCAAATAAAGTATATTGACAATAAATAATATTGAAACAAGTGCGTGTGTTTGTAAAATTCAAGTACTTTTTGAAATTTCCTTAATTTTACTACTTGGTTCAGTGTAAGTTAGTACGTTCGCTCAAATTCAGTTAGCGAAAACTGTGTGTGTGTATTAGAAGCTTCCATTTCAAGTTAATGCTCCTTTACTTTGTATTGTTAATATTAAGTATTGACTAGAATTTAAACTTGACGTAACGTAGTGGCTGTATAGTGCAGTTTTTGTGTAGTCCCATTTTGAGAATTGGCGTTAAACACCGATAATTTAACGAAAATACTTTAAATCATTTTTGTATATCAAAATGTAGCTTGTTATAAAAATTAGGTTCTAATCCCCGTACCACCAAAATATATTCGCCCATTCAGCCGTGGGAGCGTTATATTGTGACGGTCAATCCCACTACTCGTTGGTAAAAGAGTAGCCCCAGCTACGTTGCTTCTAGTCTTTCACTGCTAAATTAGGGACGGCTAGCGCAGATGGCCACCGTGTAGCTTTGCGCGAAATTCAAAACAAACCAAACCACAAATTCTTATGAGTAGGAAAACAAACGAGTTTTGTTTGTTGAATAATCAGTTTTAATACAGATGGGACGAGTGAGAAGTATGGCATACTGCTGTGCACGACTGATACAGCGATGAGGGCTGTAGAAAGTTCCTGCTAATTAACAAAAGTTAAATAATATACATCTTAGATATATGTAAGTACATGTTGAGGGAAACAAGAATTTAATTAGAAAACCGAGTATCGATTAGTTTCCCGGTGAACATAAGAATATTTACTACACATACAGTATACAACAGAAGTTTGATAAGAAAACCAGTTTCTTTAATGCTGTGCAAGTTTTCATAAATTCTGCTTTTTTATTAATTTAACTGAGTGCGCTTACTCTGGCAAGATTATCTTGTGAAAGTCTTCGGTTAATTATAGGAACTTGAGTGAAAGTAAATCAAAGTTTATAACTATCTAATATATCGAATGTCTTTACATTTATTTTCTCCTTCTGTTGTAGATATTTTATATTGTTAGCTTAGTGTATTTAGGACTAACCTTAAATATCCTAAGTTGGTCAAACTTCGTGATATTATTAGGATTACGGCCGAAAATATCGTTAACAGCGAGGGTACCCAGTTGATGAAACAATGCATTTTAAAGCTTTAAGTAGTAACTTAAGGAAAGTATATTTAATTAACTATACTGTTGAAGGTTGATTTTTAGATTCGTTCTAAATACATATGTCAAAAGTGTTATATCCCCTATATCCAGAGCCAAGAGGCCTTTTATATAATACCAAAGGACTCCTCAGCCCTGCTGGTATACGACAGACCTGTGCCTGTCTAGTACATAATAAGTTATTTATTATCAAATTGCGTTATTAAACAAATGTTATAGCGTGAACTATATTAAATTTAACTGTGTATATATATATTTTTTTATATGTCAATTTTATGAGTCATTTACAAATCAGATTAGGGTAAGAATTAATAAGCAGTATTAATTATTTTAAGATCAGAGACCCTCGTTGATTACATTTGTAAACAAGGTTGTGCGTATTTTCTGATATCAACTCTGTTTTCCTGGAATTATGAGTAAAGTTTCATTTGAAAACCTAAACCATATTGACCTGTTGTTAACAGTGGTGTTAGTTATTACCTCTTTCTTGTGACATTGTCATTAAACTACATATGTCATTTTATTTTACAGATCATAGATAAGGAAACTAACATATTAACCAACGGTCACAACGTAGTTCTTCGAAGTTAACACTGGTAAGTCTATCTTTCAGTATTCTATACGAAGAGTGGTACATTCAGAATTATGGAAAAATAATATTGGAATTACTTAAATTCCTCTATTTTCAAAACTGTTGAGTCCTTAAAATACTCTTAGTAAATGTACTTAAACTATATTATAAATACACATCGGATGCTAACACGAATGATGAAAAACGTTAGTTTATACTTAGACTTCTGTGATTTCCGGTTAATGACTTCAAACGTAGGAAGTAAGAACTAACATTCTGAGAACAGGGTCACTTCCGGTTTGGTTGCGGATCGATATTGAAATACTGCGGTAATGTATTCACCATTCTCTAACAATCCAGTGTCAATGGATCGATCGCGAGATGCATATGAAACCGACGTAGGTTACAGTCGCAGATAAGTATATTTTAGTAGTCAGGGATGTGAGAGTACATTCAGTTGAAAATTTGTATGGGTTTCTGTCATAGCAATAACTGAGTCACAAAATGCGCTGTTGTATTTCAGTTTCTTGAGCTTGTTTTTACGTTATCAAGTGATCAAATGAGAAACCATTGTGTGTATTTAATTTATTTTCAGGGATGGGCCGAAATGTCATATATTTTATATTTAAAACGCCATGGTACGTCTTGTGATCAATTATCTTTATTAATCACACACTATATTAAGAAAAAGTGTAATGTTAGTGTGAAATATCTTGTAAATTATTACTGAAATTTTCCAAATACAAAAGGTTAATATGCTGTTGGTTTGCCCTAAGGAAAACGTTGTGGCAAAATATAATTAAAGGTAGGAGGAACTTACGAATAGATTTGAAAACCAGATATTACGCAGTTTTGACAATTTGTTTAACAGATTATTTGTTATTATTCTGCTACTTTTCTATTGTTAGTCTAAGATGTTTGTATGCAAGATATCGGTACGGTATTTGATGATAGGATGAGTTGTAAATAATGCTCAGACTACAACTATTGAAGATATGCTATTAAAATATTGATGCAGTTAGAGTTAGAATAAATGTAAAAATACTGCTAATAATAATCGAACCTACGAATATTACTGTAAACTTATTTTGTTCATTAGAAAATGCCCCCCAGTGGCACAGTGGTATGTCTGCGGACTTGCAACGCTAGAAACCGGGTTTCGATACTCGTGGTGGGCAGAGCACAGATAGCCCATTGTATAGCTTTGTGCATAAAAATAAATTCGAAAAAAATTCAAATTCATTAGAAAATAATTTAAATTACTAAGTTATCATGATCTCTTTCTTTCTTTTCCCCCGATCTCTGGCTAAGCACGTGTCGAGAATTAAAAGGATCCTTTGATGGCGAGCAATCACCGGTCCGTTACAGTAGGGACAGTGGCCATTGCTGTTTTGAAAATGTAAACTGTACGAGTAATTACAAAAATCGCAGTCTAATTTGCCTCCCTCAGGGGAATTGGGGGAGGGGGGGGGGCAGGAGTGATGAAAGTTACTTTTAGGAAGTTGAAATTGGAAACTGTGTATGTAGATTAAATGCCAGCCTTAGAAATAACTTTTGTATTTAATAGAATTGTAGAAATTCTTTGTTAATCTACTTACCATGGAGTACTTGTGTACTTATTGTTTCATTCTTCGTGATTCTGTAAACCTACAATTAGTTTACTTTGTTACTTTTAAAATGTGACACAAAATGCCACATCAAAGCTAATATATGTGAATAATTTATGACCACTATAGTTTCATCATTTCAATGTAAAGCACAGTTAATTCAATAATAGTGTAGTACTTACTGTGCTGTCGATTGAAATGTGTCATTGGTTGTGTAAATATCCGGAATTGTTATTAGGTATTTTCCTTATCTGATATATTTGAATTGCCTGTCACAAACGGCTTCTCGTGTGAGTGAGTCATCACGTAATTCTTCTTTTACCTTATTGCAGAAGCGTTCAAAACTAGTACAGTCAAATAGTACACGTACGTGATTGCAAAATTAACCGCGTAATATCAGGTGCTTATTTATTAACTAATTTAAAAAAAATCATTTACGTTAACGGTATATTATAAATCAGATTTTTTGAACGATGTATTTCAGATTGGTTTGTACTAGCAGTATGTTAAATAACTTTGTTTACTGTTTCAATCATTCAATAATTATGTAAGAAAGGGGTGCGAAACAGACTTACCGAAACATATGGTCCATTCCTGTGGTCTAAACTAAGGAAATGACGTAATGACCATTATTATACATGCAGTAGTTTTAAGCCTGAAGTCATAGCTTACTTCAGGTGTTCTTGTCAGAAATAACTTATTTTTAGTGGGAATAAAAGAAAGTAGATTTCAACATAAGTTTTATACAAGACGAGACAAATTTAAGCAAGAGATATATTACTATTTGACTGACTTTGTGTGAGCTTCGTTGTTTACGCTGTGGTAACATTCTTTACCTGATAGGATGTTCATCATTGTGGTTAAACACCTGGTTGACTTATATTTCTGTAGTTTTAACCAGGGTTTTTTTTATTGTATGAACAAGATGGTTTTCACTGGATCTTTATATGATAGCTTTCGGACACTTCCTACATGCGTGTGTTGGTATAAATTTTACCGTTACTTGTGAAAGCGGATATTGTCCGTAGAATAAAGGTGAATAAACTTTACGTTATTTTCTATATCTAGTTAACTTTGGTAAACTTCAGCCGTAACTAATAATAATCTGCGAATTCAGGTTTACAAAGAAAAGTGTACCGTATCTTTACGTAGTCAGAAAATCCGAACAGTACCATCTAGCGGTAGATGTATTGTAATCTACAATGTATATAGCTGCCGTTAACAACACTCTTAAAAGACGTTGTGTAGAAGTAATTGTAATTTCATAAACATGCTTCGTGGCAAATGGAAAGTAAATTTTAAATCTGTAAATCGAGTCAAAACGGGTCGTTCTTGTTAATTATGTAAGCTAACACAGTAATTTTGACATTGTATATTCAGAAATGTCAAAACGTATGGAAATATTTAATTGTAGCATGTCCATTTTAATAAACTGTTTATAACTTTAATCTTATAGCACTTAAATTGCATTATTGTTCTACGTTTAAACTTTGGCAGCCTTGGATTTTTAATTTAGGATTAGCGTTCACTTTTTAATTTAATCCAAAATTCTGTATCCATGCATTAACGTAGTATTACGACCAACCAGTTCATATAAACTGTTTGTAGCTGGGAGAAAAAAAAAACACTCATTGTCGAGTTGTTTATAGCGGGATTCTTAGAAGAACACTTGACAGTGCACTTAGCAACGTTTGATCATCCCGCTTTATTTTAGAAGCAAATAACATAACCTTGATCGTAAGGAATACTCATAAGTCGGTAAACTTATAGATAAGATTCGTTGTATAAAAGAAAAAAGATCGATATAATTATCTTTCGTAGTATTTATGTTGTGTAACGTTGTGTTCGTCCTTACTCATCGTATGGTAGAAAATAGGTGCAAACTACCCAACCTGTTTACTATCAGTATAAGGATATCCTAATAGATGTAAACATGGAATGTATACATTACTCATTTCAGCATAAGTTAACGAAAAATGAAGATTCCGCCATAATTCTGTTAAAATTTCAGGTTAGTGGTTTACAGTAATCCTGTATGGGTCTTCTTTTCGTCTACTAACAATAAAAAAAAAAAAAAACATGATTATATTCATAGTTGATATGTATTTTAGTTAGGGTTTCTTGTATTTTTATATAACATACACTTTAATACATGTTTAATACAAAGATCGTAACCACGTGTAACCATAAATTCCTGTTAAGCTCGAAATGGTTTAACTTAAAATTGAAAGCAACTTGTTTTTGTTTACACCTACGTAGCGTATGAACGGTGACAATGATTGTAGAAAAATGTTTACGTGGTTTGTCGTTACTAAAATTAACTTTTGGTGATAAGTACTTAGGAGGAAAACCTTGTTCATGCACTGAGGTAGTTTGAAACACGCCGTATGGTATTTAAACCGTTGGTGAGAATAGGTAAAGTAGAAAACTGTCATTGCAGATCCGGTGACAATTCGTTGTTTTCTTATAAACATCACTAGACAATCTTGTGTAAATTATTCCATAATAAAAACTTGTATATTTTGATATAGTAATTATATGTTTAACCGTTACTCCACAGACCTATCAAAACTAGTCTTTTTACCTAAACCTTGCAAAGAAACGGGATAGTTGAGACATTACTTAGCTCTGTTTTGGTTCATCTTTGTGGACCTCACAGATTTGTTCGCTTGCGACTAGGTGTAACATGATGTAAATGTCTTCAGAATTCATTCTTTACATCCTCTGGTCTTTTTACATGAGAATGCCAGTACAAGACTTTAATTCATGTTGTGGTAACATTTTTATGCACGTGTTAGAACTAAAGTTTTATTGAGGTTTTACAAGGGTTATATTATGGAAATTGGAAGTGGGGATAAACTGCTTTTTGACAGTTCAAGACGCACGGTAGTGTATCGTGTGGCTAAAACAACCTGCAGGACACACAAGGTACGTTATTAACAGGAATGATAGTTTAGCAACATTCCACCTTCTGTAGGTCAGACTGTGGTAATCCAAACTATCATATATTTTCAGTGGATGTGCTCTACTGGACCCTTACTTCACATACCAAATTTCAAGGAATCCATTAAGAAATACACGATATAAATTCTCCAATTTTGATTGATTTTTTTCTTTTCGCACCGAAAGTATGGAAACTTTATTTGATAGAAAAACACTTTTATGGATTTTTTTTTTCAAATTTGGTACACTTATAAATTTTTACAACCTACAGTTAGGTGTAAAATTTGGTCTTAGTATAAGACACGTGCAAAGTTATTTAACAAAAACCGCTCAATTTTGACAAATTTTGCGCACTCCCATGCAAAAAAGTCACGTGAGCTATCGGTCTGAAATTATCACTACAGTTTCACCTAAGAGTAAAAGTGGACTTTTTTTGTCATTCGGATTAAATACAGCAGCAAAACTAAGGTGAAAG